CCTAGAGCTGTTGATGGCAACCAAACAAGCACTTTGTTGCCCTCAGGGATCTGGCCCTGCGTTACAGGAGGTGGACAGGGGAGAATCTAAGGGAGACCTGGAGGGACACCCTGCTGCAGGAAGGCCGTGCCCTGGGAGCTCAGGGGAAAGGATGGCTCAGCCACTGGAAGGGAGGTGCCACCCCCAGGGGAGACAGGCAGGTGGCCAGCTACAAGCTGAGCCAGGGCTTGTGGTGGACAGGGGCAGGAAGAGCACCTGGGGAGAGAGATCCTCGTGACAAAGCACAGAGATGCCCAGAGCTGGGGGAGGAGGGACGAGGGTCCTGTGGATGGGTGAGGATGAGGACAGGAGGAGCCTGTGGCCCTTCTGCCAGGGCTGTGCTGGGAAAACCCAGATGAGGAGTCACAGCTGGGTGCTCGTGGCCTGGACCACTGGGCACCCTGGCCCTATGGCCATGCAAGGGTGCCATACACGGAAGGGAGGCCCCGAGGAGCTGAGGTGAGCAGGGGCATGCAGCAGAGCAACTGGGACTGTAGGCACGTTCCCAAGGAAACCCTGAGGCGGGGTGGCCGCTGGAGTGTGGGGGAGGTGACCGTGCCCCTGGACTGGGCTGGAAGGGTCCCATCCTGTGCCTCACACCCAGAAAACCCGGGGCTCCTAGCTTTTGGCCCAGCACCTCCACCTGGACCACAGAAGACACTCAGGGACAACCCTGGTGGGCACCCCACTCTCTCGTCCAAGAGGAAAGAACTTTTCTAAGTTAAACTGCATCACTCCAAAACCTCTGGGTTGAAGCAGGGGCGGAAGGAATAGCAAAATGAATGACCAGGACACTAATCAGTCGCAGATGGACTTCCACAGCTCACAGTCTGATAACAGGGCCCCAAGATTCAGCCTTGTTGCTATCTCAGAAGTCAAAGCACAAACAGGATGGCCAGGCACTGACCTGTGTGGCCTTGCATTGACCTTACAGCATCAGCAGGTCAAAGAAACAAGTGCAGTGACAGAAAACCGCGTCCCTTGCACCCAGCAGAGGCGTCACCTGGGCTGGCGCATGCACCGGCTCTTCAGGGGGTGCTGTCCTTGCCCTGGGCAGCAGCCATCAGTGCACATCCACCAGGTAATGGAGGACTTGAAAACACATCAAGGAGCCTCATCAGGAACCAGCCAGGCCTGAAACGTGTCTGAGAAGACGTCGGCAGACCTCAGCTCCAGGGTCTCAGCCGCAAGGAGCCTTGCGTCCCAGGGCACCTCGGGGCCACTGTGGTGGGACCTGCCGGAGGCGTCTGTCTTTGGCATTTCCTGCTGAACACTTTTATGAACAAGTTGGAAGAAGATTCCAGAGGCCCGTCTATCACATTTATCCAAACTGCAAAGGTCGGGAGGCAGAGCTGAGCGCGTGGAGAGCCAAGACGTGGGAACACTTCTACAGGGTGAACTTCACAGGCTCACACCTGGTCAGAGCCGTGGCGCAGCTAGGCGCTTCAGACCCTATTGTCTGACCGTGAATTTTACTGTGAATAAGGTCTAGAGAGTGGCCGTCGTCAGGCCCAGGTTGTCCTGCAAGTGAGCCTCCCCACAAGGTTCAGGAGCCCTGGGGAGTGGGCCCATGGGGACCTCTGCAGACCTCTCCCCAGAGGCAGGGCTGTCTGCACAAGACGGTGGCATCCCAGCTGTTCTGTCGCAGGCTCAGCCCGAGGCAGACTTTTTCCTCACGTGCCTCTGGGGCAACTCGAACGCCCTCGATTCCTGCGAAGCCTGTCAAATGGTAGTGCTGGCGGGAATGCCAACCTAATGCCACATTGGAAACCCTTGCACCCAGCCCCTGAACATGGGGACTTCAGCCCTGGCTCTTGGTGGTGGCTATTTGCTATGGCACGCCACGGCTCAGTCCAGGCCCACCAGACTGCACTCCGGGGGCAGGGCACCCCTGGTTTGGCCAAACCGTCCTTGTGCCCAGCACAGCACAGATGGATGCCACGTACTTGCAGGGAACGCTGAGTGACAAAAGCTGTTGCTTGCGTCTCCAGGGGTGGCTGGTGGCGCTGTCATCTCTTTACCAGGTCAACTATATGGCCCCAGGACACTCTGCAGAAGAATCCAGGGGAAGAGGCCGGGGTGGGGGTTCAGGGGAGATGCCGGTGTCAGTGGTGTGCACACGGGGGCTGAGGGACAGAGTCGGGAGGAACAGACCCTCCGTCTGGGTGGAGACCATCACCATCGTGTCCACACTGAGTGTGGGAAAGAGGGCAAGGAACGTGTGGCTCTGGAGCGAGGAACCCCCGGGGTGTGGTGCCCAGATTTGGGGAACACCTGCATGGGTGGAAGGTCAGCCCAGGCCAACCCTGGACGCGGAGCGTTCCGCTAAGCAGGGTGTGACGTCCTCGCCGCCATCCCCGTGCTGCTGTCCGACCTCCCCCAGGGTCAGCCAGTCCTAGCGGGGCCGTCAGGGAGCCAGACCTGTGCTCAGCGCCTCTCACCCTCCGAGACGCTCGGGGCCCACCCAGCTTTACTTCCAACAAAAAGTATCAGAACTTACTTTTGGCTAAATGTACAAGAATCATTCAGTCCCAGGAATATAAAAACTACGTTCCGCTCATTTGCATTTGCCTCTGCCCTCTTCTAATGGAGCTGGTGGCTGGGCACTCTGGACGCGTCCCGTGGTTCTGCACAGAGTATTTTGTTGAACAAGTGATAATGTGCGATCATTTTTGCACTCACAATGCTCCTCTTAATCTTATTTCAAGTTACAACAATATGAGCCTTGTTTCCACTCTTCTGTTTTTAACTAATGAAAATTTATTACAAAGAAATCCTAATTATACCCTTTTGGAGTGTAGTACAATCGCAAATGCTGGAAATTTCTATTTCAAAATTTCATATCATTGCAGAAGCAGGGCAGGATGTGAGCACTGGGTCTATAAATAAAATCCCCAATGGGCCAGCAACCCTCTGTCTCCCTGTACACTCACTTTGGTTTGATAGGACAAACCAGTAGTCGGTATGACAGCCCTCATACTGTGTGGAGACCCCTCGCTGGACAGAGCTGGGCATTCTCAGCAAACACATTCTCTAAGTACCTGGGTCAGTCGGTGCAGGGAAGAAGCACACTTGGCAGGCTGGGCAACCTGGATCAGCCTGGCCTGGCAGCTGAATGACCATGGGTCCCTGTCCTGCACCCCAGAAGGAAGTGGTGCAGGCTCCACCTGATGCCCATGGCCTGGAGGAGGCCTACCTGGGCCACCTAATCTCATGATGGGGACTGCTCTGTGCATCGCAGGGTGGTCAACATCATCTCCTTCTACATGCCAGAGGCGTTCCTCAGCTGTCTGCAGACATGGCCCCGTCTTTCCAGAGCAGATCCCCCACTGACGGCGCTGTACGAATGTCAGAGAAAACCAGAGCCAGGCAGTGAAGTGGTGATGACGCTGCACTCAGGGCTGCCACGATGGGGGAGATCCCAGCACAGAACAGGGATCAGTTCCAAATCAGCAGGAGCAGCAGGAAATTACAGCCAGGGAGGAGGGTGGAGGTCATGGGCAGAAAACTACCAAGAAGATGCGTCAGTGGTGGGCGGGGTCTGGCAAAGCTAACAGCAGGATAGCTGCTGAAGGCAGGACGGAGTGTCCATACAGCCCCTGGGTGCATCAGTGCACATCCACCCGGGTAATGGAGGACTTGCATCAAGGAACCTCATCGGGAACCATCGAACATTAGGAAACCAGGCCTGAAACATGTCAGGTGGGGAGGACCCTGAAGGACAGCGGGATCGGATGTTGTCCACTTGCACTCAGATTGCACAGTGCAGAGCACGTGGAGGCCAGATTCCAGACTACTGGAAAGCACAGGAGCTGAGTGGGGTGTGGTCCAGGAGAGAAGCCTTGTCCCCAGCCCAGGATCAGAGCAATGGCCTGTGGCTGGAGCTGTCCAGGGAGCCTCCACACCTGCTGCTTCGAACAGTGGCTGCCAGAGGCTGGGCATGGACAGGTGTGCAGCAGGGTCATGTTGCACAGAGGCCCTGCCAGGGTCAGTGTGGCTGCCATGAGGTTGTGCGGGAAGCCAGTGTGGGCTGAGCCTCCGTGACAGGCAGGTGCAGGCTGCAGCCACGAGGACGGGGATGGCGGCTGGTCAGAAGCTGCTCCCAGGCTGGGCCAGGCTGGGGAGGAGGGGAAGCCCGGCCTGAAGGGAGCAGTGTCTGCACTTTGCCCACCGTTTTCTCCCACTCAGCAAGGTTTTCTGGAAGGAGCTGGCAGATTCTTCTAGCATAAGGCACGGAGCCCTGCAGAGGTCTGCCAAGGGCCAGTGGTGCTGAGGCAGCACCTGCTTGTGCAGGGTGGGTGTCTCCCTTCCTTCCAGGACAAGGAGGGCCCCCTGTGAGAGCCTGGGGAAGCTGTGGTGAGCTCCTTGCCTGGTGAGATAGGCCCCCGTGGCAGCCAGCCTCCGGGGCCTTGGCTGCAGCCACCCCTCTCTGCTGGGGACTTCACCAGGGACCCGGCAACGCCCAGCCTCCCTCCTTGTCACTAAGTCTCCCCTTTGGTCCATCTCAGGGCAGAGACTTCTGTTCCAGAAACTCTTTCACTCATCTGTTCAATAAAGAAGGGAACCGGTGGTGAGTGGCAGGTCTCCCCTCCCCCGTGGTTGAGAGCATCTATGCAGTGACACGGGCACCTCAGCCTCTGTCCTGTGTAGGTGGCCGTCACAGGGACCTGAAGTGAGGGTCTCACTCACAGGCACCCTGTCGGCAGCTCCTTCAGCTCCACTAGCACGCGCCCACCATCCCCCACTGGCGCCCTGGGCTGGGCTTCAGTCTCCATCTCCTGCCCAGAGCAGCCAAGCAGTCTGCAGCCAAGGGCAGAGATCCCCACTCACCTGCTGCCTGCACCAGGCTTTATTGAAAGAGTTTCCAAAGATTCTTTGTTTCAGAGAAGTTTTAAAGCTGCAGTGAAAACCGGCTGGGCCTCCCAGGGCCTGTGTCATTTTTTGCTCTTGTTTCCCTGAAGGACTGAAGGCTGCGGGAGTCCCGGGCCTGAGGAGCCACAACCAGAGGACAGAGGCACACGGACACCGCCCCCCCAGATTCTGCTGCCCCTGGAGGAGCGTGCGACCCACTTCCGAGACATGCTCCTGGAGAGAGGGGTAAGGACCTGCAGGGCGGGTGTGGGGCCTCAGCCTGGGAGGCTCCTCAGGGACAGCAGCCAGGACCTTGTCCTTGCAGAGCCCATGATTGAGCAGAGTGGCACCTGGGTACTAGATCATTGGAGAATACTGGGGAAAACTGACATGGAGAAAGCCCCTGCTTCTTGTCTTAAAGGAGAAAAGAGGCAGCCATGAGGTGTGGGGTGCCCCCGTGCGAAACTCCCACAGGGCCAGGCGGAGAGGCCCCTGTAGGAACAGGTCCCCAGGAAGACAGAAGGAGGCTCCTGCCCTGTGAGGAAAATTGCTGCTGTAGCCGGGCCAGGCCCTGGCGCCCCACCACAGGGATGCCCCCCTGGGGGTACCTTACCCACCAGGGACTCCCACGCCTTCGGATTAATACGACTATTTGTGAATAAAATTAGAATATCCTAATTGCAGCCAATTTCTGGATCTCATTTTGAATGGAGGGGGTTATATTAGAATCCTTTCCAACAACTTTTAATTTCTTGCCTTGGCTTTCGGGTATAAAATGAGCCAGATACAATATTGTAACCCAGTTGGATTTCCTTAGAAAATGAGGCTGAACACAGAAGGTAGCAGTGGAACCTTCGAGTGAAGATAATTATAATGAGCACTGGAATGGCCTCCTGAATGCAAGGCAAATTCCCTCCACGGTCCACCTGCCCCCAGGCTGCTTCCTGCCTGGGCCCTCCGCAGCAGGTGCAGCTGGAGCCTGGTGCAGGGCGCTGGGAAGAACTGCTCTGGACCCCCTGGGGCAGCCCAGTCTGAGTGCTCACCCCACCTGAGACCCAAAGAGCCCAGGAGGCTCCAGCCTTTCCGGATTCAGCAGGAAGGAAGGCCTCCCGCCCGCTGCCTGGGCCCTCTCCCTGGCGTTGTGGATGCCAAGGTGTGCATCTCCATGCAGCCATGCCCCTGACGGGAAGGTGCAGGCCTTGGCATCAGGAGCTGGAGAAAGGAGGTGGGCCACAAGTGCCCTTGAATAAAAACAAAACAAAACCCATGTCGGGTCTGGAAGGGCATCCAGGCTGCAGCTGTCACACAAATCTGTCTCAGGGTCCCTTCTCTGGGAGGCCCTCCCTCAGCTGCTGATGACCTGCCATGCGGGGTCCTGTCCCTGCCCCAGTACCCGTCCCTTTGCCAGGCCATGCTCCTGGAGGGTAGAGGAATCCCAGTGTGTGCTCCAGGGATTTCCCAAGGATTTCTCCTTTGTGTGTGGAGGCTGCTCCAGGTGGGCCTGGTGTCCCCTTCCTCACTCCTGGACAGGCACCGCAGTGGTCCCTAACGAGTCCTGGGGAGCTTTTCAGCCTTCCACAAGGGCTGCTGCTTGCTTCATCGCACTCCTGTTCCCGCAGAGCAGCTGAAGCACAGGGTCCCGGAAGCACCCTGTGAACGGGACGCACACCACCCTCTGCCCAGAGCTGTGGGTCCTGGGCCTGCAGGAGGCCGGATGCTCTGTGAGCCCTCAGGGCTGTGGCTGGCTGTCAGACCCGCCCAGAGCCTCTTGCCCTTACGCCCACCCTGTCTCCCACTGCGGGGATGTTGCAGAAGTGCCCTAACCCGTGTTTCTGAGTGGCCCTAGCCAGGCTGGTCCAAGGGCATGACCTGGAAGGAGAAGGGATCTCCCTCCCTGGGACACGTTGGCATTATGAACTGTTGAGAAATAGGAGCAACACACCTCACTTCATCTTACAGTCAAGTGTTCCCTCTCTTTAGTTTGGAAACCAGCAAACCCAATTTACCAACAGAGTTTTACACAACCAGGGGCCGAGAGGCTGGAGGGCTGGGTTCACACAGGCTCTTGAGTTTGTCCAAAGGGCCTTGCTGAGGGATTTCACCAATGACTCTGCAGTGTATTCTTTTTTCTCTTTCCTCCCCTTTTTTTTTTTTTTTTTGGTACCCAGGATTGAACTTAGGAGCACTCAACCACTGAGCACATCCCCAGCCATTTTTTTGTATTTAATTTAGAGACAGGTTCTCATTGAGTTGCTTAGCGCCTCGCGAAGTTGCTAAGGCTGGCTTTGAACTCGCGATCCTCCTGCCTCAGCCTCCTGAGCCACTGGGATTACAGGCCTGCACCACTGTGCCCAGCTGCAGTGCATTTTTGACCTGCATTTTGACCTGAGCAGCTCATTTCAGTCTCTGATTCTGAGATTCTTAAGTGAAAATAAGCATGAGGGAAAGGAAGCCAGTGCCGTGCTGTGTTTTCCTGGGAGAGGCAGGAGCTGTGCCGCGTCCTGCAGGGTGTTCGGGAGCCCACGCTCACTCAGATAGAAAGACCAGTCCGATTTACAGCCCATGCCATAAAGCACTGCCACCATTTACGATTTGGGACTTTATAAACTATGCCAGCAGATTTCTTAAGTTGCTCCTGCTCATGAGAATTCTGGAGCTGAGCCTTGTAAGAGTTGTAGTTGCTTAAAGAATGAGGCCTAAAAGGTCACTTTTTTCATGGCTAAGTGATTAATAAGACTTTTATTGCCTTTGCTCAATACTTCAGCTCAGAGGCTCCTGCGCTCACGGAATGATGAGGCCAGGCCCCGGGGTTTCTTAGTGGTTAACCAAGGGCAGAGCTGGAGCTATTCCCTGGGCCTCCTGGGCAGGGGCTCTGGTTACTGCCCCTGCCCCAGGTCAGCGGTGGCTCCTGGAGGTTAGTAGGCTCCATTTCTATTTTGGTACAAATCGCAATGGAGCTTTCTCTGAGAACTTGGTCTATCGAGGAGCACATCTGACTGAGCGGCAAGTTTTAACGGCCTGTCCAGGGAGTCCAGCGGGACATTTTCCTTGGGAACGTTTTCATTTGCAGCCTCCTTTGGAAATAGGCAGTTCCTAGGCAGGGGCCAGGAGACAAAGGCCCTTAGAGACCCTAGAACCCGACTTGGGTCTCAGAGTGTTCCCAGAGTCCTCTCATGTCCCTCTGTGAGCGACCTTTGGCCAGCTTTCCAGCAGTGGGGTCAGCCTTGGGGACCCTGGATGACCCTGGCCAGCTTGAATGAGAGCCCCTGGGGCTGGGCCCACGTCCCGTCACAGTGAGGAAGGAACTCACAGGCCCACCCTGGCCTGGCCTAGTGGCCTGTAGCTGCCCTGAGATGGCCTTCCAGCACAGGGAGTGGAGCCAGGCTGGTGTAGGCAAGACAGCGGCTCCTTCTCAGGTCCTGGGCTAACAGGGCAGAGGGTAGCTTTCCCAGGCAGCAAGAAGGGCAGCCTGGTTCCCAACTCTGTGCCCCACTGTCAGCCATGTCTGGGCCCCTCCCTGCCCCGGGCACATGAGCACACTGCCAGTCAGAGCTGTGACAGACACCAGGCCAGGGCACCTGCTCGTCCTCACGGGGAGTGGCTGAGCTGTGCAGAGGAGGCTCCAGTGCCGTGTTCTCTGCGCCTGAGTCGAGGCTGGAGAAGCTGATCACACTCCTGCGGCAGCTCCGGCAGCTCCTCTGAGCCTCGCAGGCACTTCACACATTGCTAATGAGACTAGACGGTGAAGAAAAGAGACTCAGAGTGTGAATGACACCATGCTGCATGCCATAAATACACAAATGACATTGCACTAGTAAAGTGGTCAATCAGGAAAAGAATATCAAGGAAAAAATCCACCTAAATCCTTCCCTTAGAGGTGACTGTTACTACCAATGGGGTCTATCTTCCTTCAAACTTTTTATTCCTCTAAAAATAGATTTTTAAGGGCTGGAAATACAAGTTGGTGGTAGAACTCTGGTCTTGCATGCACTAAGCCCTGGATTCCATCTCTAGCACTGAAAAACTAAATTAAGATGAAAACAGAGTTTGAAAAATCAAAACAAAATGTCTTTACCTTCCAGCATAACCAATATGGAACTGTGGTTGAGCACAGCTGAGCAGTGGCTTGTTTAGCCGTCGATTTCACAGGGTTGAACCTGATTCATACTCGATATCACCCTCTTCCCTCTTCATCAGTGTAAACTCTCAGAGACCACTTCTGATGTGCTCATATTACCCCATTCATTGTCAGTTCAAAAATCCTGCATTTTAATTTATTAAGTAGACTTCCCAATTTTTGTTACTTTAAATAATGCTTGGCTGATCATATAGATAAGTAGTCGTGTGTGTGAGTGTGTGTACGCTCATGCACATGAGTGGAATATGTTTCCTCTGGGCTGTAAACATTTGATCTCTGTTACCCAATTGTTTTGAGAAGGTTGTTGAAATTCAGCTTATCCTCCCAGCAGCGATGTTTGAGGTTCCTGGAGAACGTGTTTGGCCACACTGAATACTAAGGGATGTAAATATTTACCATGTGTCCTTTTAAAAATCACTCTCTTCTTCCTTCCTTCCTGCTTCCTCTGGGCTTCGGTGGCCTGCGTCCCCTTCTCAATGGACATTGAGCTCTGGCTGTCGGCTCAGGCTTTGGGATGGACGCCTCACTCATAGCAGTTGAATCAGCTCTAATGACAGAGCTGCCCCCTTGGGCTTGTGACCTGCCCACTGCAGCTTCTAGATGGGATTTTAACTGTCCCTAATGTGAAAGTAATCCTCAAAAGCAAATGACGTGGATTGAGTACATTATGGAATAAGAGTGAAATTTTACCTATTAAAACAGGAGAAAATGTTGAAATTGGTAAAATTTGGCCATTCCTGCTGAAGGCCCCTCTGCCCATGTCTGCATTTACCTGAAGTTCACCTGGGCTCACGGGGCTTTCGGCATGCTGACCCCTCCAAGGGCACCTGTATCCAAGAAGGGATGGGAGTCCTACGCAGGATGCTGTTGGCCCCTCCTGGTCACACAGGTCTCTGTCAGTGTGGGCGTGTTCTCTGAGTCACCCACCTAGTGGGGTCTACTCGGGCCACCTGCTCCTCTATGCAGGGCTGCTCTTGGCAGAGCTGAGGCAGTGACCAGGGGCCCACCTTCTAGGACGAGGCAGGGCTTGGCCCCTTGCCCCAAGCCTGGTCCCTTTATCCTGGGGCAGTCACCTTTAATCACTGGGACACTAGAGCCAGAAAGAGAAGACCCAGCAACATGCTCCAGAAAATGGGGTACAGTGCGCTGGCATTAAAGGACAGGCTCTGTTCCCAGTCTGAGTGTGCAGGTGGAGTCCAGGGGTGGGCGGAGAGGCTGGACAGCGACAGAGCAGGACGCCCTCCTGCCTCCACCCCCGGTGCCTGGACCCAGATGCTCCTGGGCTCAGGCCTGAGGGAGTCTGGAGAACCCACTTCTGTGGCTGGGTGTCACTTCCACCTGCCCCCAGGGGTCTCGGTGACACTCCAGAACCCCATGCACATTCTAGGAGGAAGGACTGCTGCATCCCTGGCTGAGGGTTTTGGCCAATTCCCTGAGAGCCAGGCACAAGAAGGCACAGGAGAGACAAGTGCCGGAAAGGGAAGAAGGCCCCCGCCGTTGTCAAGGGCCCAGCATGAGCTGGGCAGAGGCTCAGGGGAGGGGACCGTCAATGACCAGGGACTGGGGCTCTCTTGGCAGCTGCAAGGAGAGACCACTGCACACAAGGCAAGAAGGGGCACCGTCTGTGCCTCTTTCCCTTCTGTCTTTAACACCACGTCACAAGGCGTGTCACATGGGCGCCTCCCTCCTTTGTTCACCTCAATAGGCTCTGAAGGCAACAGTGTCACCGCTCAAGTGCTGTCCCCACTGGGGCACAAGCTGGGGGAAAGGGCCAGCCCTGGAGGGGCCGGAGCCTGGACCAGAGATGAGCGCCCTTGAGACTGGTCACTTCTTCTGCAGGACATTCACACCTGGACAAGGAAACACGACCTTGACCTTGGCCAACAGTTGACGTCCCAGTTTCACTATCACCATTTTAATATGCCAAGGAAGTGAGAGACCCAATGTGTGTGTCTTGCTGATCACACTTGGTGAGGGACAGTGTCTGAAGTAACTGGGTCTGCATCTAGGGTGGAAATCAGCCCTGTTCTCCATGACGTGGCTGGACAGCCGCTGCTCCCCCGGGACATGCATGGGGGCCAGTGCAGACAGACGATGGCACTGCTTCTGTGCATGCACAGGAACCATGGTGTCCCCAGGTGCTGGCCTTAGGTGGGAGCCAGGTGCCCAGTGACAGCGAGGGGGGCCCTGGGGAGACCCATACACTCTCCAACACACAACCCGTGACACTCACCCTCTCCTCTGGCCATTGGGATCACTGGCCCTTTGTGATCCAAGGACTGAAACATACTCGACAGGCTCTTTAGGGGAGAAGACTGAAAGCCCAGTGCTTGCCGTGGAGGCTGCTCCCCTGCTGAGGCCTGACCGCGTCCTCACCCCGAGATGCCTGGCTGGCACCGGGCCTGACAGGACCTCTGTCTTCACACGTTTCAGCCTGCTCTGAACTCTCCCGGCCACTTTACTTAAATGGAAGCCATTTGTCTTGAAGCTGAATTGTCCCCAGGAGCAACGCAAAATCCTTTTACCCCTTTCTGGAGAGGCTTTGCTGGCGCTCGGTGGAGGCCAGAGCAATTTTCTCTGGCTGTCTTCTGCGCGGTCTCCACCAAACCTCAGTCACCTTCCAGTGGGTGTGACAGAGGCTCCGCTCATCCGTCCCCAGTGGGGGTGCCAGGCAGCCATCGCTGGGCATGACAGAGCTCTTTCCCTGCAGAGTCCCCGGCCTGCCGTGAGTGCTCGGGGGAACATGGGGAGCACGCCACAGTAGCTGGTTCTCTGGATCCCTGCAGGCTGCTCAGCATGCCCTGGGTCCCTGGCATCCAGGCCTGTCTGCTGCGGTGCCAGTCCCCTATTGGAAGTCTTTTAGTTCCCCCATCTGCCTTCTCCTACAGCAGGGCTTCCTGATATCATGGGGCCTTGAATTGTTTTCTCTGAATTCTCAGCACCCAGCACAGGACGGAGGCAGACTTTATCCTAAGCCCGTGTTTCTGAAAATGAATCGTTTTTAAATGACTCAGGCAGCCTTCCCTTGCTTTCTCTGCTGAGTCCCATGCAGCAAACCTGTCTGGATGTGGTTCCTATCACAGCTCGCTGGGACAGAGGAGCCAAGGCTTCCTGCAGGAATGACTGGCTTGGGGCTCAGGCGGGCACATCTCAGCTAAGCCTGGAGCCCTGTGCAGAGCTGCAGAGCATGGGGGCTGGCAGAGCAGACTCGGGAGCACACGTCAGGCATGCAGAAGCCAACGGAGGACTCCCGGGGCTGACGCTAGAGCAGTGTGAGCAGCAAGATGCATGCAGCGGAATTGGATCCTGAGAGTATGTGCTACATACCATGTGTCCTCACAGATGAAAGAAACTGCTGAATAAAGGTGCGAATGTGGAAGAATCCAAATCTCTTATGTAGCCACTGCCCTCGGTTAGCAGAGCTTGCTAAGTGTGGGCTGAAGTGTCCACCTTCATCAGGCTGCAGTGGGCAAAGGGCAGAGTAACCTGGAGGTGGGGACACGGACACACCTCAGCCAGGTGGTTGGGTCCAGGCCCCAGTGCTGAGAGCCGGGCCTGGTGGGGATCCCTGATGTCGTGCATGACACATCACACAACAGCCCTGTGGTCTTCTTCCCAATCCCACAGCCCCAGATGATCCCAGCCCCGGGGGATCCTTCAACATACCTGTCAGCACCCCAAACAGCAAGGCCATCAAGAACCAGGGAGTCTGAGAAACTCCCCAGTGTCGAGGAAATGTCAGGAGGGGTCCTGAGAAGAAAAGAGAAAGTCCTGCAGCAACCGCAGGATGAGTGGCTTTGTTAACCGCGGTGGGAGGGTGACGCCGTGACCAGCCTGGCCCACTGGCAGAGTTGGGGGCAGAGGAGCCTCCTGCAAGGTTCTAGCAAATTTTCAGTAATGCTAAAACTACTGTAAAATAAAATACGTGGCTTTTAACAATAACCCATCTAACAGATGCTTGATGATTAAAATACCAACCAAAGTTCTGCTGACCCAGCCTGTTTGCAAGACATAGCCCTCTGTTGTGACCTGCAGGTTGTGAGACTTTTGCAAATATCCTCTCTGCTCTCAAGACTTGGCTGCAGTGCTTTCTCCATGGAGCCCGGGGCCTGCAGACCAGGGCTGAGCCCTGGAGACTCCCAAGGAAGGAACAGTGTCACGAGTCTAGAAATTAAATTTCCTAATGTTCTAAGCATTGATTTTCTCGAAATGTTCGCACGGGTTTCATACAATGCCGCGTCGCTGATCTGTTGTACTCCGATGTTGCATTTTTTTTAACCATTGATCATTTCAGCGCAACCCCAGCTCAGAATCTGATGTTAATACCAACTCCATTGAATATCTTTCTCCAGGTGTCAGCGTTTTCTACTTGGGAGAAAGAATTGCACAAAATTGTGTTTGACCCGCGCTATCTCCTGCTAAACTCTGAGGAGCGGAAACAGGTACGGTGGCGTCCAGCAGGAAGACACTGCAGACACAGGACTAAGCGGCGGCTCTGGGCTTGTCACTGCTGGTGGACAGCTGCCTGCTGACTGCCCGTGCAGCGGGGAGGGGGAGCGTGTGGTGCGTGTGGAGCTTCGAGTTGTGAACGGGGGTCAGCAGTGCAGTGGGGTCTCTGCTGGGAATCCTTCTTACCTGACCGTCCAGACTTGACCAGAGGTAAAAATGCAAATTGGGGGACATAAGCCATGTTCCTGTGACTGTACTCAGAGTGTAAAGTCACCGGGCATGTCAGGTGCCATGTGATGTGAGTGACCGGGAGAGGTCCAAGGCACACTCCTGGAATAAGCAAAGGGTGGTGTTCTGGAAAGCAGGTCCAGGACAGCAGGGCTGGCTTGGAGTCAGGAGTCTGGAAGCTCTTTTGAAGACAGACTGGCCAGGGCTCTGTTGTGGTGAGGTCACTGAGCCTTCTGTTTCCAGGCTGACCAGGCAGATGGGAGAGGGCACTGAGATGACTGGGCTTCGGGAGAGGTGTGTCATCGCCAGGGTTAGGGTTAGGGAACCACAGCTTTAGCTGGACCTGTGGGGTCCACGGGGCCTGAGAATGGCCGGGCTTTCTCAACCCGAGTCCTCACATGAGGCCACGTCCTCCCTCTCACCGTACCCCGGGCAGTGAGTCACCTAGAACCAAGACTGACCGCAGAGGAGCCTTGGGTCATCCCAGAGAAGAAGGTCCATTGCCGTGGGCCCACGGGCTCTCCTCTGGGGTTCTCAGATGGCAGTTTGTGGTCAAGACCCAGGGGGAGCGTGGAGACTGCCTTTCTATTTTCAGTTCAGTCACCAGCTCATGAAGTCCCTGTGAGCAGATGCCGGAGACGATGGCAGGGAGCAGCCCAGGCAGAGTCTCAGCTGGTTGCCACCCCTGGAGCCGTAAAGTCCAGGAGCAGACACGGGTGGCCTTGGAAGTGGGAGGCTCCTGAGATGGCCACAGTCCTGTAGGAACCGGGAACTGATTACCTTTAGCAGAGTTTCAGTTTTGAGAAAGAAGCATCATTGACCACGAGAGGTGTGAGCATGACTCCGGATAACCCTGCCATTGAGGGGGCTGGTTTGGGAGACCACAGAGTTTAATCGCTGACACCGTCTCACCCCTTTGCTGCATCATGAGATGGGAAGGTCCGAGCGTCCACCACAGCGGCACAGAGCAGGGAGCCTGTGTCCACGTGGCAGCCACACCCTGCGCCCTGGAAGCCACCAGCGGCTGGAGTCTGACCGCCACCTGCGGGGAGGCTCCTGCTGCCATCTGTTGCCGTCCTTTCTCTAAGTCACAGATATTTCTAGTGGCCACCACTCTCTCAAGAGGAAGTTGAAGAAGGAAGACCTCCCACCCCCAAGAGAAAGGCCGGCAGAGAAGAGGCCCCTTGAACACTTCCGGCTCGATGCTCGAGCTGCGTCTCCAGGGAGGACCTGAGGCAGGGCCTGGCCGCCGCAGCTGGAGACCACTGCCCTCCATGCTAGAGACAGCTGTCCTGTGCACCGCTGGCAGGGAGCGGGGGGCTGCACGTGGGCAGGCCAGGCAGAGGGCGCAGACCGCCCAGGGCCGTGCCTTCCCACGCCGACTGGTGGGGAGTCCTGCCCTCGTCCATGGCCTGCAGACAGATCCAGTGGGAATGTCAGCCCACACCTGGAGTCATTATTGGGGGAAACCTTCAAATGTCCCTGTGGAGTCTCCTAGAGGAAGCTGTGGTCCCCAAAAGGCCCAGTGAAGAGAATGCAGCCACCAGCGGGCAGACTGCAGCAGCGGGGGCCACGTCAGCTCAGGGGCTGCAGCTGCACCGGCACAGAAGCTCCACAGCTTGTGTGAGCAGGGCACCAAGCTGGACTGGGAAAAGACACAGTGTTCGGGCCTAATGCAAAAAGCAGAGCCCTATTGACAAATAAATAGCGCAAGCAAGCGTGTGCTGAGGCCCTGCGTCCCCAGTGCCTCCGTGGAGAGGCCAAGGCTCTGCGGTGAATGATGCCACCCTCCCTCCACCTGGGGCTGCAGAGGAGGAGAGAGCGTGAGCCAAAACAGAGAACAGGGCCAGGGAGTGCAAACTGGGCCTGTTTCCATGGCAACGAGTACTGTTTGGCTTCATCACAGCAGAGCTCACAGTAACGAGATAATGGCCAACGTTATCTCTTTTAAAAAGTCATGCCCCACTTTGGAAAAAAAATGGTATGATTGTTAGGAGGAAAAAATCCTGCTCTATTAAATCATAGCATCATAAATAAAGCAACTGAGAAAAAGGAGAGACGAGAGAGAAAAATCTGATTCGATGGATAAATGGTTCCAGGCAGAGAGGTGCAGGTATTCCACGGGAGCTCTGACCCCACAGCCAGCCAGCCTTTCTACCCAGATTTAAAATTAATAGAGCAAAACTCTGGCTAATGAGGGAGCCACATGCTTTTATTTGGATAATAACCTTGCATTCACCTCTTTTATTAGTTTAAATTATAAGATGACTAGACTCCATACCTTATTATTTGCCTTAAAAGTGGAATTAGCCAGTCAGATTCTTAAATAGACAGGCACCTGCTCTAAGGCTCAGCCATAGGCACTGCTGCATCCTCGGGTGGTAAGTGACACTTTGTGTTTATGATCCCATAAATGTTTGCCATTAAAGAGGGACCTGAAACAGGAAGACAAGGTCAAAGAAGGCCAGGGCCAGCTGGCTCCTGCCGGTTCCCACCTCCCCCCACAGCGGGCTGCTGCTGCTGCTGGAGACCTGCAGCCGCCCTGCACTTGGGTGCGACCCCCAGGCCTGCATGGGTTGGTACAGAGGTGGCACCACGTGTGGGCTTTTTACTGTTGCTTTATTTATATTTGCATAAGAATTTAAATTACCTCCAGTCTATTTTTTAAATATTCTTGAGGTTTTGTCAGCATTAGGAATGAAATGACTTTGTCCCCTCCCTGCCAACTTCGTAGTCTGTAAGTGACAATTTTTCAGGTGTTAGCACGATGAGCAATCTTCTTCTAATAAAAAGCATGAGGCTTCTGTGGTCCGTGGCAGAGAGGTTTCATCATTTGATGTGGCTCTGGTTTCTGAGAGGAAGATCCTGGAGTCTCGGGGGGATTTCCCTGCCGACGGGACAGAGGAGGTTTCCTTGGTCACATCTGAACACCTTTCTGGCCCAGCGAGGGTCTGGCAAGCCCAGCGGGGGCTCCTTGTGCTCATCCAGCCTGGACGCCCCCTGCCCCCCGCTGCAGGGTGGGGTTCTCAGGAACTGGAGGTCGGGAGTCCTCTGTTCACAGGTTAATGTCATTTTTGGAGGCTCGAAGGCCAATGACCTTGCCTTGGGAGGAGACTAGAGAAAGCTCAGAACCCAGTGTCACTGTGCCCATCGGCGATGGGAAACTTGACAGGCCAGGGACTGCTCAGAAGCTACTCAGGGTCCAGACGAGAAGCACACCTGAGGGGCTCAGAGAGGGCCACCCCGCAGCTCCTGGGACTCCGGCTGCAGGCCACGGTGTGGCCCAGAGGTGGGGCCTGTGTGTGGACCAGCACTGGGCCTCGGGGTGGGGTCCACTCTGTGGACTAATTGGTGCCCTTGAGAGCGCAGCAGAAGGGCCACGGCTCACAGGCCGGGCCACGGGGAGTGGGTGGCTCACCCAGGGGTTCCATTTCTCCTGTGTCATCCCATAATGCTTGTGTCTGTGTGTTTCAAGATATTTGAACAGTTTGTCAAGACGAGGATAAAAGAAGAATACAAGGAAAAAAAGAGTAAGTTGCTGCTCGCCAAAGAAGAGTTCAGAAAGCTCCTGGAGGAGTCTAAAGTGTCACCCAGGTAAGGCGGGGGCACTCAGGGTGTTTTCCGGGGCCAGCAGGTTGTCAGCGGTCACAGGAGGCCTGAGGTTCCCCCTGTAGAGTCAGGTGACCTAACATGCCGGGGACCCTGAGAGGGCTGACTGTAAAGACGGGACCGTTCCCCCCTCTGGGGAGGAAAGCGGCTTTCCTATCACACCGTGGTGTGTCAACCCTCTGTCACCACCTGTGTCCTCCCCACACGCATGAAGGGCCAGGACCTGGGCTGCCCACAGCAGTCCCGAGACCCAGGCCCACAGGACACAGCAGCTCCCACCACCCTCCCCCCGTCTGACCACTCAGCAGAGCCGTGTGAGGGTCAACCAAGGCCACCAGGGCGAGTGACCTGTGTTGACTTGGTCACCAAGGCTGCTAAGATAACAAGGAGGGCAAAGAAAGCCGTAGGACAGGGTGGCAGCAAGCAGAGGCGCCCCTCAGCTTAGTTCTTTAAAGTCACCTGAGCTGACTCTCTTTTAGAAAAGTGAACATGTGCTCCTTCTAGAACCAGGAGATAAGGCATTTGTAGGCATAAATGATGGGTTCTGATGCATTTCATTTTAGATCGGCTTGGCATCGGTCCTGTCAATGGAGATGTAGGCTTCCACGTCTGGTGTGTGACCCTCGTGGTCGATGGCTGGGTGGCCAAGTTATGTAGCTCACACAACCTGGTAAAGCGTCTTGCCTTCCAGATGGGGAGAAACTGAGCACAAATCATCCCCATCACGGAACGCTCATCTGGAAGAGTCTGCAGCCTGGGTTTCCTGTGGCCCCGCAGCTGTGAGAAGTGGGTTCTAGACTCGTCTCTGTCCCCATGAGTGGCTGAGGGAGGGGAGACGGGGGAGGTGGCCCTGACACCATGCAGCTCCTGGCCTGGCCCAGCCAGTGGGCAGGTGCTGGACCTTCATCTGCTTCTGCATCCTCACAGGAATGGGGGTGACCACACCAACCTCAGAGACCCCCAGAGGATGGCATGTGGTGCTGCAGGGTCCACCAGTGCTGGGCAGCAGATGCTCAGGACACAGCAGGTGCCACAGGAA